CCAATGAACAAGAATAAGATAATAATGGAAGATTTGTAAAAAAAATACAAATTGTTAATAATTTGGAAAATAATGATGATAATGGTTAGAATAATAATGAGCAGAATAGGTCGATGCATATATATATATATAGTTAAAAATATATAGTCATGTGATTTATTATAAAAATCATATGGTGATCTACATCTGAAATTTCGGACTGTGTAGTTTATAGATAATAGCCACCATACTAATTTTTTTCACCCTAAGTCAACCATTACAAATCTCATTTTGGAGTATTGAGATAGATCCATTAATTAATTGGAATTCTATTGTGACTCTATCAAAATTATTATGATAGGTTTGAAGGATACGTTCAATTTCATCAAGTCTGGCATTATGATTGGCAAGCTTGGTGGTGAGTCAAGCATCTTGGTTTGCAAGAATTTCATTAATGGTATCATATGCAGAAGGGTCGGAATTATGCTTGAGGTCAATGTCTTGCTTGGTAATGTATGAAAAATAAAATGTAGCACCAATGAGCAAGTAAATGGAGATTTTCTTGACGAATAGCAATAAGTTGGTGAGATCCAAAAATAGAGTGATCCTCGAAACTGCAAGTGATGTCAAGAGTTGGTCTATTAGCATGCATACATGAATATAGGAAAAGTGTCATAGCGTAAACAAACCTTAATCATTAGAAATTAGATATCAGATATTATTTAAGTTTATGAACCTTAATCATTAGAAATTAGATATTATTTTGAATATATGATTTTATTATTTCTCATGGATAAAATTTATTAGCTTTTTCTTCACTTTTTTATATAAAAAAATTAAAGATCAGAATTTATTTATAGGCTTGAATAGTAAAGAACCAGAAATTGTCAGAACTTTTTATGTGTCAGAAACACTAGCTCTACTATTGCAATGCAATGAGCAACATCCTATACTTTACATAGGTGAAATGTATTAATTGGATAAATAATTCTTTGCTCTTGTAATGTTGATATCAGCAATCGAACATTTATTGTTTTGTATCACCAACTTCAAATTCAAATAATAAATCGATCTTCTAACTAACTTGATTAATTTCTTTTTGCAATAGTATCTATTTCGATATAAATTCCAAAATTAGAAATTTTATATGAGTCAGAGTTCCTCTCTATGCTCCGTATATAGATTATAAACATATAACTCTTACCAAATTTTGTCAGTGCGAATGTATATTAACATAAATCAAAAAATTTTTATTACTCAAAGTAGCCCCCTAAGGACTTGGTATAAATAAAAATACTACGATTATGCCATGTATATGTGAAGTGGAGAATCTATTCATTACTTTATAAATTTTTTGATCCTAGTCTTTTTGAATAGAGTCAAGATTTTCTTTGAGTACTATTTTCGAAAAAATAATTTGATAATTACTTTTACTAGTGCAATATATCCATCAGTGGCAAAAATTCCGAGTTAATGAAAATCACGTTATGTTACAGAATAAAATTAAAGATCATCATGTAACCTTTTAATTGTTGCTATAAATTCTATAAATTCCAAATCTGATTGCTAATTCGTGGCATTCATGTTTTCTTTGTGAAAAGTTTTTTTTTGTCATGCATCGCTCCACTTTTACATTTTTTAAATCTACTCTTTCCATATCTAAATAAAGACAGAAATGAGTGAAAGAGAACATTATAAAAGGGTAGTATATCTATATTATATTTGTTTTTCGCTTTATAGTGATTCTGTTACTTGCACTATCTTAACTTGTATTTTTACTAAGTTTTTTTACCACCATGTCTTCCAATTACTTGTATGTAAAAATTGCTGAATATCTGTCTGATTTAAAAACTGAGCATATCATAGTGGTCACACTTATTTATCAAGGGTTGGAAGCGAACCCATGGATTAGTAAAAATGAACTGAGAGATATTGTGGATAGTGCAGTTAATTTGGTAAAAAGATTGACTACTATAGATTTTGAACATAACGGAAGACTTATTCAAATTATACCATAGGTTAGTTATGAAATTCTCGTAAAAAAATATATTGATATTCAGAATGATAAATGATACAGATGGAAGTGTATTTCTAAGGAAATAAGTATAACAGTATAGACTTTCCTATTAGCCCACCAACAGGAATTTTTTCTTAATAGTGTGGAGGATTTTTATATTGTAGAGTATACTTATTTCTATGTTGATAATATAGTACCTCACAAAGTTTCATTTGTGTAGTCAAGCCATATCGGATATAACTTTGTATTATTCTGACTGCCACATGATTAATAGTATATAGAGTGTGCTTTATTCAAAAATGACTTCTAACATATTTATATAACTGCATCTAGTTCGATATTGCATTTGATTCTATTCATAACTTACTGGATATTGGGATAATAAAAATGGTATGTTTGGAATAAGTAAAAAGAAAAAAATAATTAGTAATGGTATTCATTTTTATTAGCACAAGGAAAAATCTCTCACTTCAGAGCAGATCAATTATAATATAAATAAATTAAGAGGAAAACTCGTGATAAGTTACATATAAGGTTATAATTCTCATAATATATTATTACTACCAATAAGAGATTTATATATATATTTTTTTATTTCCAAGAATGGTACCTCAAAACTTTACCAAGAGTTAATTGTCATTTTGAATGATACTTCTACTTTGGAACTAACTTGGCAATACCCCTTAGCTAATCAAGTTATTAATGACGATTTAGAGTTGATTAAACAGTTATCAAATAAACAAAGAAAACAATTTATGGTATATATAAACTAGTGTTTTTGAATGTAACAGGTATATATTATCACTAATATTAATTCCATTCCTATTTAAGAAACCAGTTAAAGAAATAATGCCAAAAATAAAACAAAATAAAAAAAAACTTTTTCCTACTCCTCTTTCTACACTTAAAATTTTCCTTTTTAAGAAATTTTTGAGTTGTTTATTTTTTTCTTCGTCTTCTTCTTTTCCCTCTCTTTATACTACTCTTTCCATATCTTTTTATTTTCCTTTTCCTATCTTCTCCTCTCTCTTCTATATATTTTTTTTATATCTTTTATTCTCTCCTTCCTTTTTCCTCTTTTTTTTCCTGCTGAAGTTAGGTTTTTTCTTTTTCCTGAAGGTTTTTCTCTTTAGGTTTCTTTCTCTTTTGAAAATTCCATCTTCATAACATCACTTCTCTGGTCAATCAACTTCCTTTTCTTAAGAATTATATTAAGAAACTGTAACCTTTCTTAGAACATGGCTTTAGGAAATTTTCTTTCTTCCATGGTTTCTCAGAAAAAGAATGGATGGCTTACCTCTTCAAAAGATCAATATGATCATTATTACCAAACTTGGCATTGTTTACTGATCAGTGGTTAAACTAGATATACCTAAGAAACCTTTATATAACTATTATTATCTAAAAGTACTCAAGAAGTTGTGCCTCATAATATCCAGAGCAAAATGGCAACCAATGCCAATGCAACTAGCAATAAGCTAGGCTAGTTGCAGGTGTTATGCTGATGATTGGAAAACTTAGTAGAGTAATATATGATAATTAGGAATTCTAGTTACTCTTGAAAACGAGCTGGTAACAACAATAAAAGTTCTTCACTTACCTCTCAAACAATATAGGTCTATTGTACAAGGTTAAGTTCTGGCTAGAACTCCAAAAAGTACCAAACTGGTATCAAAATAGTATTGATCTATAGTAAATTTAATATATGGGTTGTGATCTACTTATATGTTTTATAGTAAATTTAAGTATCAAACTAATATCGAATAGGTATCAAAGTGGTATCAAAGTGATATCATTAGGAGCCCTAGTTACAACACCATTAAGAAAACCAATATGAAC